ATGCCAATGCCAGTGTGCCAGACATGATGAGGAGAGTGACAACGCAGAAGAGGAAGAGGAGGCTGAGAAAACTACAGGAGAAGATGAGACAGCAGATTATGAGGAGAAAGGAGAGGAGGAAGAGGGGGACAACGAGGGTGAGGCAGGAAGTGGGGAAGAGGAGAGTGACAAGGAGACAGTCAAAGACGCAACAGATGAAGGAGAGACCACTGAAAATGGTGAGGGTGAGGAGGAGGAGGAGGAGGAGGAGGATGGGGCAGATGAGAAAGAGTGTGAGGTGTCTGATCTTAAGCCTGAGGGGGAAGAAACCACCAGCAGGGAAAGTGGAGAAGAGGAGGAGACAAATGCAGAAAATGAAGAATCAACACCGGTGGAGGAGCTTGTGGAGGGAAACGCCAGCGCAGAGGCAGAGGATGACGATGAAGGAGATGACGGCGCCGGAGAAGAGGAGTCACATGAAGACGGAAAGGGAGGAGAAAGTGAGCAGCAGGAAGGGCAGTCATCGGAGGAGGAAAGAGACTCACCGCCGGTAAGGATGAATCAATTACAAAAACATTATATTAATAATTATTGTGAGTAAGAGTGGAACTGAGATAAACTGTATTTCTTTCTATAAATGTCAATGGTGAACAAACCAAGAGATGAAGTGATTAGTTGATTATTATAATTACTATTTTGAAACTCAATTCAAGCCATTTTTGAAACAGAAATTCAGCTTTGGGTTTATGGTTTTATATTATACAAAACAGACGGGATGGGTGACACCAAAGTTACAGTTCATGTAGGAAACAGCACTAGAGAAATCAGGGCTCAGTCAGTAGGTAACTAACATTTAATTACCTTTGTTTTATTATTTTATTATAAGTAATTTTTAAAAAGGCTGGAACAAATTAATTGGGACACATAAGGGACTGTTCCTGAATAACAATTAACTGACGCTGTAGTTATGCGCACCACCTGTTTTGTAAAACACCACAGAGCGCCTGAACACGACCGCAGGGTTGAAGTCTACTGTACCTTCAAGAGAAATCTGACCTACTGCAGCCTCACCGCTAATTCTAAGCCTGTGGGAAAAGATAATCTCAGCATCCAATTAGACGGACTGAACAAATCTGTTTTGTTTGGCAGCAACGCAGAGCTGCCACTGACGGACGGCTGCTGTTATTGTCAGTCACCACCTGTTTGAGAAAAACCTTATCACAGATCAATGTGTTCTCACCTCACCAGTCATTTAAGGTGCTGTGTTTTATTCGGTTTACTGCAGCCTTCCTGCACTGATTAAGGGAAACTAATTATTATACCAACCATTAGATTTGTGTGCTTGCTATGTCGCTGTAATTAGTGACACTTAGCTGACCCAGCAGTACCCAATTTAGCTAATTACAACTCCTCAAAGATAATTTACTGTCATCTCGTTCATACCTCAGGACCAGGAGGTGACTACAGCTGTCTGTGTGACCGAGGGAGAGGAGGCCGACGCCGAAGACTCAGACACAGACAATAAACGTCCCAGTGACACCAGTGCGGATGAATCTGGACACGAGCGTGCTGGGACCACGGGAGACGAGGAGGAGAAAGAGGAAGGAGGAGATGGAGATGAGGTTGTGGAGGACGCTGTGGAGGAGTTCAAGCCCGAGGAAGAGGACGAGGAGAAGGAGGATGGTGCTCTCCTGCACCAGTTCACCAGGACCTCTGTGGAGTCCCAGCCCGGTTCCTTGGAGGAAATTAACATGGGTTCAAACCAGAACCCTGTAAGGTCGATAGAAGTGCCCAAAATGGCTGCCGCTGTGTCCACCGGTGGTGGTACAACCCAGAAAAGGAGCCGGTCGCCGGGCAGGGTCAAACGCCGCAAACCCAAAGAGAGTGACGTCGAACTGGACAACCGTTAACTCGCACGGAAACATAAATCATCGTGTGAATTCAAGACTTCAAAAGGGTGCAAGACTCCCAGAAACCCTTGCTCTGTCAATGACTACACAGGTAGAATTATGTAGGTTTTAAAAAAACTGTAACCAAAAGCAAATACTCAAACACTTGAAGCACTTTATAACTCCAGATCCAGTGTAGGAGGAGTCAGTGATTTATATGTAGAACCACGAAACTTGAAACCACCTCCTTATCCTATTTAATTATCAGTTATATTTGTTACTGTTATTTTAATTGTATGTATGGATTCCTGTACTGTAAGTGCACAAATAAGGTATATTTTTGAAAGAAAAAACAAAAAAAAACAACATTTTTGACACAGTACAGTATTATGTGAACTCTTTTGTGTTCAGTGGACCGCAGGTTTAATGATTTGTTGAATCATATAACCACTAATATACCAAGTACCTCAGAGATATATGTTAGATGTTGACTGTTTCAGTAGCGTTTGACAAAACTGCTGTATTCATACTTGTTTTGTGTATCAATTAATTCCTGTAACTATTTTCTTTTTTGTCTCATTAAGTCAGTGCTGGATTCTCAAGGGTTCGGTCAGCCATGTTGTTTTGGAAAAGGTCATTTAGCTATTACTTTATCCTGTTAATCTGTTAACAAGTTCTCTGTGTAAACGTACTCAAGCTCTCTCATCTAATCTGATTACCTTAAAGAAATAGATGTTTTGGGGAAATGCTTGTCATCTTTCTTGCCAAGGGTTACATGAAGAGATAAAGACACAACTCTCGTATCGGTATGCTAAATATAAAGTTAGCCTATAGCTTAATGACTCAAGAGGCGGGGGGGGGGGGCAGCTAGCCTGCTAAAGCATTTAAAGCTAATTAACATCTTATATGTTTAATCTGTTAAAAGAAAACCTAAATGCAAAAATACAGGGATTTTATAATGACAAGCCATCATTATAAAAAGGTTTTCAGGCCAGATACAACATGCTAATTTAGCCAGGCTAACTGTTTCTTATGCTAGCTTAGCTAAGCTAATCAGCTTCTGGCTCTAGCTTCATATTTAGCGTCCAGACATGAAAGTGGTGTCGATCTTATTTTCTAACTTTCAGCAAGAAAGTGAATAAGTTTATTATTATTAATGTTAAACTATTTCTGTAAGTTACTTTTAAATTACTTTAATTTATAGTAAAAATGAATTAACTTCAAATCACAGCCTGTATTTTAGTAGCATTATCATATTATCTTGAACTCTCATCATTCAGAGTATTTTCCCTTTATGTGTAAACTTTTGAGCAACTGTACCTATATTTATGTAGTTAAATTACCGTGACTATTTACTGTATATCTATCTCTTTTCCCACAAATGTAGTTAAAAAGCTTGCACAATATCACAACACTGAGCATATCTTTGTGTTTCTCACACAAACTACATATATCTACAGTAAATGCCAGGAGGCAACAGTCTGAATTTCGGTTTGATGTAAACCCTGAATCTGCTGCTTTTCTTAGGTGTGTGTTACATGCTGTAGATTCAGATGGGGTTTGCATAACCAGTCATGTGGAACAACAGCGTGAAGTGTGTTACTGATGCCTTACCGTATCCATGGTTATATGAAGGTAGATCGACAAAACACAGAGGGGGGAGATCACGGTTGTCTTTTGTTTCCCGACATCTCCTCTCTCTGTTGGTGGTGGCTCTTGAGCAGAATCAGAGAGCCTGTAAAGGACGCTGGAATGGATCAATGCTGCTCTTTAAAAATGCTGGAAAATATACTTTTTAAGGCCCCATAAGAAGTATTTTCTCTCATTTAACCCAACCCAAGCTGAGTGAGCTGGGCTCTAGGCTTACTCCCAAACAGCAGAGATATTCTGCAAATGCTCACTGTGTGTTTGAGACAGTGTGAAGGAGGCAAAACATGTTTATCTCACATTGTTCAGCCTCCAATCTGGGGTTACCAAGAGGGTGTGTGTGCCTATGCTGCTATTGGTGTGTTTTGGCTGTCCATCAATCTGTGATATCACCAAGTGAACATCATGTACCTGGAGCAAATGAATATATGAATGTAATAAAAATTGATATAAATAAAATAAATGCACAAGTTGGTGATCCTCATATTATTTCTCCTGAGCGCGTGCGACTGAAATGTTGCTAGATTGGTGTATTTTACGTTATTCTAACATTATTTAACAGCTGACACATTTTTATCTCAAAGGAGAATTATTTTTCACTTACCTCTAGTTGTATCTAGCCAAGCAGATACTGTATTTTTCAGATTTGAAGGGTTCTTATGCTACATAAGGGGCTCGAGCTGAGAGGTGGTTATCTTAGCTTAGCATAAAATATGGGAAAATGAGGTAACAGCTACCCTGGCTCACTCAAAAAAAAAACACCTGCCAACACCTCTAATGCTGCATTCATGCAACGTTTGCAGACTGTGAAGAACAAGGAAACATTTTAATTATTCCATCTTGGTTACTTGCTACTAGCTTTGCGTGAATGGACTAAACAAATGAGATACAACAGACGGGCTAGCTTATTGCTTCAGAGGTGTCCATATAAATGCCGAGACCTATGTGCTAATGCTTTGTGATCCAGATCTGATGAACACTTTACCTTTACTGTGCTGCCTTTGCTCTGTGCTTCCCCACTGTATTTGGCTCTGCCCCAGCAGTGTTTTCAAAGCTGCTCAACTCAAGATACACTCACACGTCACACTAATCCAGTACCTGTGTGTGTGTGTGTGTGTGTGTGTGTGTGTTGAGCCACGGAGGGATTGAGGTTGACTTACATCACGCGGACCAATGCAGTAGAGCCTGTACCTCCAGAAAACTGATACAGAACATAGGCTGAAAGTGTCAGTCAAACTCCAACTCATAATTCAAGTAATGCTCTGTATTGTGTTTATTTCTGATTTCTAAGACACTAAGTTTAACACATACAGGTATTGGTGTTTTAAATACAACAGGAAAACACTTTTTGTTTTGGTCAGTAATTAAAAAAGTCCATAAAATTTNTGCTGAAAGTGTCAGTCAAACTCCACCTCATAATTCAAGTAATGCTCTGTATTGTGTTTATTTCCGGTTTTTGTTTTGGTCAGTAATTAAAAAAGTCCATAAAATTTAACTTTTATTACTGCATTTGATTGATTTTATATTTGTATATTTTCACTTCTTGCAAGTGCAGTACAAACTGACAGTACATTTACATGTTGCTACGATAAGGTTTGAATGTACAAGTGGTATAACATGGTTCTGCATTTCAAGGCCTCCAGGTAAACGTGACGAAATAACTGACACAGACATTAAAGCTGACCTCTGACCTTTCTGCGGAGAGGAAGCACATGAATATTCTGTATGTGCGTGGACTCTGCACGATGATGACATCATGCCATGTCAATTATGAGAGCCATGCCTCCACAGCTTCCCTTACGATTGGCTGTTGGTCCAAATGAGACTCCGCCTCTGAGAGAGCGCAACCAGTCAGCAGAACGACCAACGCCAGAGGGACCACCTGCACACACACACACACACACACACACACACACACACACACACACACAGAGAAGATATAACACAGCCAGCCTCCTCCACCCATCTATCCCTCCAGCATCTCACCACCTCCTCACCTTGGTCCTTTTTCTGGCTGTGAGTGTGTGTGCGGTCATGTCAGAGGACGTGATGTCCAGTGTCAGCTTGTCCACTCGGTAGATGGCCCTCAAAAGAGCTTCCTCACACTTGGACTCAGGATGACCGGACAGTTTCTAGGAGGAGGGGGAGAGAGAGCTTCAGTTCATCTCCACAATCATTCACTGCTCACCTGATTTCTCCTGTTTGTGAAGGTGGAAGCTGAATTTCTCCTTTCCCACTCCACAAGCTTAGACTCAGGTACCAGAAGAAAGACAATATGACAGTAATAAATACAACAGACAAAAAAATGTATTGATAAAATCAGTCTAAACAGGTGGGTCATGAGGTTTGTGGGAGACTCAGAAATGTTATTCTAGCAGCAGCTAATCTAGCCTCGAGCCACAAGCCACAGAGGTCTGCAGCAGGTAACTGCCCCACTTCAAAAACCTCAGGCTTTTCACTGTGAGTTTTTTGTAATTTAATAGCTTGGGAATTTATTTGGGAAATACAGTTTCAGCTGGGACATCCTACATTATTACGTAACCTTGTAACTTTGTCTTCTAGACGGGCCCTCTGTCATAAATATAGCTCTAAAACACCATACGTGTATGAAGGACCACATACACTAGGCACCAAGAGACAGGAAAACTCAGGGTGTAATTCTATATATACCTGGAGTAAACGTGTGGCTCTGCGGTAGAGCTTGCTGTTGGTGACCTGCACGTCGATCATGTGGTTCCGGTAAACCTTCCCCTTTAAGATGTGAGCTCCGGTGCTCACAGCGTTCAACAGCAGCTTAGTGGACAGCTCCCACTGCTGAGAGAGAGAGGGAACTGATTTCCTTTCCTCTGCTTTTACATAAGCTTTGAATGAAAGCATTAAAAAAAAAAAGAAGATGTACAGAATATGACAAATAAGAAAAATCTGCTAATCAATAAATACAAAATCAGTTCTTTTAACATTGAAACAGGAAGACACGCCCTCCGCCCAGTGTATTCAGGTCTGAGTAGCTCTGCAAAATACTCTGTTGATGGAGGGGTGGGAGCCAAAGTCAAAGGGAGTAAATGGGTTATTTATCATGCTCCAGTGAGTCACCGAATCAATGTGTGTGTCCATGTGTGTGAGGAATACCATGAGTAGAAAGCTCCTTGAAGCAGGTGTCGGCCAAGTGACGTTTAGTGTAGATAAACACAGGTTACTGATGTCACCCTGCAAAAGATGCAAAAGATAGATAGATAGATAGATAGATAGATAGATAGATAGATAGATAGATAGATAGATGGATAGATACTTGTTCAGCAGCTGCAGTGTCTCCATCAGTGTGGTGATAAACAGCATGAAGGTTGGACGTCTTCTCTCTCACTCTGCGTGCCAACTTCGCCACCTCTGTGACATCGTCTGCGGGTAGAGGCTGTTAAGACGCTCGCTGTTTTTTTATTTGGACAGAATCCAAACGTGAAAGAAGTGTTGTCTCACCGGAGCGCGTGAAGATAAGCAGAATGGTGTCCTGGTCGCTGAGATAGGGCAGGACTGAACGCAGGAAATCCTCATGTGAGATGCAAAACTGAGGACCCTGGAGGAAAGAATCATAATATGGTCAAAACAGCATCTGCAGTAGTGTTGCATTTTTAAATACAAATACATACTTAGGTGGGACAATTGTACATTTTAAAGCCCCTAAATTTAGCAGCATATGAATCAAAATGTGGGTTTGTTTACTCATGTCTTCAGGCGGTTGTCAAACAAATCTGATCAAACATCACAATCCTTTTGAGGTGATTTGTTAAACCGTTCAGAACTTACACCAAAGGATGCTTCTTCTTTCAAGCTTTAACTTTGATTCTTGCTTCTTTAGTCACGAATATTTAATGTTACCGACAAAAAAAAAGGTGCTTTCAAGTTAAAATCCTTAAGATTTTTCTTGGTACCACGTCCAATTTTTAACAGCATTATGCACAGGAGGAAATGAGAGATGGTGCAGTAGCTGCTCAAAGTGTGTTTCCTGTCTTTTCGAATGGATTCACCAGTTACCACAAGTGTCAAATCGATCTGACCTGAAATCTTATTATAACATATAACAAATATTTTATCTCACAACATATCCGTAGGTTGCACTTGCAAATATCTGGCGTTATTACAGCTACAGACATATGAATTTAAAACTAACCAGCAGTTTAATAAAAAGGACTAAAGCAGATTAATTGGAAACACATCAAGTCCAACAGTGTTTCATAAACCAGGTACAGCAGGGTGTATTTCATACTAATCCTGTCCTGGGTTAATCTATAAGTCAGATACAGCTGAGACAGACATGGAGCAAAATAAAAGCTGGATTTCATTTTAATTGAATATTACTGGATTTCAAACATATTAATAGTTTCTAAAGCCTTACGAGGATTTTTCAGTCTTATTTAAGACCCACAGAGAAGCCAGAACAGAAATCTCCATGTTTTTTTTTTTTTTTGCTCGTACTGACACTGACTACCGCAGGAGAAGTTCAGACAAATGTTAATTCTCCTGAACAGCGTGAGATTTTTCATTTTTAAAGACAATGCGATGGTGCACGGTGTCAGATTAGAGCCTTTGTTCTGTATCTGTAATAATTACTTGTTCATTAATTCTAATTGTCTTCTTTTATTTCCCTTCACATACCAGTGAAGTGAGGGGACCCTCGTTGTTGCTCAGATTCCTGTATCCCCCACTCATGAAGCCACGAACATCTTCATAGTCTGACACACACACACACACACACACACGATATATTTAAATAAAAGTAAAAGGTGTATCACTTGCAAATTGATATGTAAATCAGTTAATTATGTCTCTGATCAGACGGTTTTAGATTTACTGAGTCTTGGTTGAACTCACGTTTCCCACTTTCATGTGTGTTTTTCGATGTTCTAATTAAAATGAAGCTGCATTGTTTTTTCCTGATAATGATGTACATTACACTTCTCTCACCCGCTCCAAACGTGGGGTCACACTCGCTGGCGTCGATGAGGCCCAGCACAGCCAGAGAGCCCCAGCCCAGGTAACACACATGGCTTCCGCACCGCAGGCTGAAGCACAATAGGTAAAATCATAATTGAGAGTTTTGGAAGCTTTTCCATCCGTGCAACAAATAAGAAGTGTGGGGGCGGGAAACCACTGCTCTGGATGTAGTAGCTGTTTTGTTTTTGTACTCTGAGTCTGTTTTCCTTATTTAGTAAAATTCAAAGTTACAGTGAAAGGTGTAAAAATGGGATGTTTCACCTCCGTCCAGCTGCTTCCACCAGAGCAGTTATCCCCTCGGTCTGAGCGTATGTGATATCCAGAGTTTTGTCATATGCTCTCATGTGCTGCAGGATGCCTCTGTCGGAAAAGCAAAGAAGTTAACTTTAAATATTTTGGCTGTACAAGCAGGGAACTGGTCATGTAATGTTATGTGCGTGTCATATATTACATAAGATATAACTTTAATATCATGCATGTACAATCCAGTAAAGTGTAATTATACAACCGCAAATTCTCTTTTCTGCACTGACCTGCAGAGGTCAGCAACACACAATGGAAACACAATAAAAAACACTGTTGTTAGTTTGATATTATACACACATAAAAGCTTTTGTGGTGATGTCCAACTTGTCTCCCATAGGTGGATCTATACCTATGTGAGACAGTGATGTTCACATCGGTGGTGCTGCAGTTACCACATACAGAGCGCTGAAGCGATGCACGTGCAGCCACATGTGCCTTCCTCTGTGCCAACATTATCACTAATAGGTATTTGAATGCACTCAGCAAATATACTGATACATGTGAATGTAAGGTACTGACATTTACAAACGCTCACATCAGTAGTAATGTGAAAAACATGTCCAGGACAGATCATCCAGTCGGCTGCAGGCTGACGGCTGTCAACACAAAGAAGCACTTAGGATGCTGCATGTTGTTCCTTTGGGTGCAGAGCTGGAGACGAGAGGTGCTATGAGGCTACTTCAGGAGAAGGGCAGTTTCATTATGATCTTAGAGGCAGCCAAATGTCCAGATGTACTTTAAAGTCTATTAAATACATGTAAAGACCTGAAAACATTTCAGGATAATTGCAGGATGATTTAGAAGTCAATCCAAACTACTAATTTGCAAAACACACTCTGAATTGTCTGAATTGCCGCAGCCCTGTGAGTGCAAAACACACACAACTCTGTCTTTGTTTATCCATCAAATGGCATCAATGTAGATCTAGATGCTGTGATAGTTGTGCATTTCAGTCTACAGTGTATCTTCAGTTCAAGGTGGAGGGAAAGATGTGAGGAGAAGATACCGAGAGAGATGAAAGAGAGAGGTCCTGGTGTGACACCGCTGTTCTCAAAGCAAAGGGAAGTTAATTTGCATTTAAAGGTGCTTCTAGAAGTTATAACTCATATACTAATTAAACATTGAAGAAATATCAAAAAACACTCAAAACAACATTGCAAATAAGAACTGCTAGTAGCTGATTTGGGATATGAAATGTCAACAAATGTAGAATATATCTATATTTTTAAAGAAAAGTGTTAGACTTTGAAGAGCCCTGTATTAAAGCATAAAGGATATAAAGGAATCATGCTTATTCAATTTCTTGCAGCGAGTCATACAAGAAGCCCGCTCTCATGTCTGTAGGCTTTTATCGATCTTCTCATCTAACTCTTGACAGGAGAGTGAATAAGAGTATTTCCCAAAATGTCAAACTAATTTCAGTGACTTTATTTTTCTACATTTGCAGCTTCACTTTGTCATTTAATGTTTGTTCTTCTATTGAAAAAATCTGTTTGTTCAGTTTAAGCAGCAATAAACTAAACAAGAATGAATGTTCACAGGTTAGTATGTTCAAACAGCGCCATGCTTACTCGTATGTGACGGGCGTGTTCGTGAAGGCAGCAGCATGAGCAGCGGACAGGACAACGTCCAGGAGGATCTTAGTTGCGCTGCCTCCCTTCATCCTGGAAGAACCACTGATGGCTTCTGGCTGAACACACAAACATTTTCACCGGCTGAAGTATCGACACACAGCTCCCGGTTTCTAAGTTCGAGACTTGACACAAATGCAACCCTGAACAGTTTGTGATGGAGAGGAAATAATGCATACAAGAGTGTGATGAGTACAAGTGGACGTTCTTACCCCAACTGTCGGGTTGATGAGGAAGGCCACTTGACTTTTGGAAAGCTCCTGCATCCTTTGAACCACACTGTGAAATGTGAATGTGCAGCCAGGTATGGGCTCATCCCTACACAGGTAAACACACTGTTATTTTACATGTTAAAAATAAAGTGACATTTCACATCCAATTATCCCCAATTACCAACATTTTCAGGGCATAATATTAACGGAGTAAGAGTGAAGTACGTGTTTACACACTTGGCTTGATGTGCAGGGTTGAAGCCAAGCACTACAGGAGTGTAGACCTCCGGGTGCTGCAGGCAGAAGTCCAGCTGACCAGCCACAAATGGAGCCTTCACAACCACAAAGCAAAATGTGCACAAACTAGGTTATCTGCAATTTAAAAACTCCCAACTGAGAAGTTAACAACCCCCTGTGCTACACAGAATTCAGATTTTGCCCAATAAGAGCGACTTACAGATAATCCACAGGAAATGCCAATGAACAAGACCTGCTTCTTTCCCTCACAGACCTGCAGGGCGCCGAAAACATGCAGTGGTCAAATGCTTAAGACAAACATTTAGACTGTATGTTCACACAAATACACAAAACCCCAGGACACACACTCTCTACCGTTGTCCCTGACCTTCTTCAGACTGAGCGTGCCTGATTTGGGGTCATCTTCAGGAGCTTCCTGGGAGGAAAGCAGAGCTCTGAGGAAAATGAGGTCGAGATTTTATTTAAACACATTCAAAGCAAAACTATATACATTTTAAAATTATAAATAATAATAATAATAATCCTTCCTTGTACAAATGAAAAGTTGAATTCATAATTAATACTCCTGTAGTCTTGGTCTGGATGACAGGTAGCTTATGATGGCTGATGTTATGTATATTTTGTGCTGTATATTTAGTTAGATGTTGCTATGTAGCTGATGTTACTGTGTGTATCTCACCCTCCCCATACTTACCTGAGTAGGTGGTATGTTCCTGTTAGGTGAGGAGGAGGAGGAGAAGGTAAAATGCCATTCAGTGGTCAATAGGGATGAGAGTAGGTGGCAGTTTGCTGTGAGACTGCTTTAGTTATTTTTGTTGAAATTCACAGAGTTAATATGTTTGTAATAAACATAATTTTTTTTAGAGCAACATGGTGGTGGAGTGCGCCTGTAGCAGCAAACCCCTTAATGTAAATTATGAAAATGGTGTTTTATTGTAAAGGAGCTCAACTTTTCATCTGTAAAAGGAAGATTATTTCTTCTCTCTAACGTTATGATTTCACTTTGCGTATGTTTGAAGCATTTTCCTCAGACACAACAGCAGTAATTCAGGCATTACTGTCAGATTGGAATAATTCAGAGCGGTGGCTGCTGCTAAAAATAAAAACCAGTAAAGCAATAAAGCCCCCTGTCAATTTCAATACAGCATTCTACAATCACAGCTGGTTGTGTATTTTCATTTATATGAGTGTAATCTCGTTCCGCGTAACAAAACAGCTTCCAGCCCCACCTGTCTCCTCCTGCAATGATGTAGGAATAGACCAAACTCCGGTTCAGCTTCCTCAGCTCTCTGTTGAAGCTCGTCTGATGACACACCCGAAATATAAGAGAGAGGAAGTCATTTCCCACAAAACAAGCGAGATTTGATCAGATGATTTCATTAAGTGTAATTTTTCTGATATTACTGGCATGGTCTGGCCTGTTCTGCCGTCCTATATAATATCATTTTCCGTTCTTCAAAACAAATAAAACGCCATTGGAAACGAAATGAACTAAGCTCTTTCTACGTGATCTCATAAGTTCGATATGAAACCAAATAAGTTGAATTTTGGTGCAGTGGTTCCCCTCTTTATTCCTGGTGTGCAGTGGGCTAAATCACGCGAGGAGCATTTCAGGACAACTTTTACCGCCATGAGGAAAGCCAGTCGACCAGAAGTCCCACACCCGCTCAGTACAACGAGGCTGTCCTGAGGATCCTATGGAAGAAACAAAGACAACACACTTTTACCCCACGCCTGACTGACCAACAGAAATACACCACAGACAGGCAGTCAGAGATGAGATACCTTGAGAATGAGTTCCACCCTCTTGGCGACCTCCATCAAAGTTTTCACCACTTGGTCGCTCAAAAGCTTCTAAAAATGACATTCAAATCATCATTTCCTGAAAAGAAAATATTCAAAATACATTTCCTTTTTTTTACAAACTTGCACCTGGTGGCTTGCTTCTGTCTGTTCTTGAAACATCTGAGCATCACAGGCCTGTAACGTCCTCACAATGCAGTCGGCCGAAGCTCGGTCGATGTTGCGCGTCAGGGGATTGGACTTCTCTGAAACAGGAAGTGTCGGCTCATAATCTGGAGACTGAAACATAACATAACAATTTAAAGAATAATTGAACATATCTGCTGCATTTAAACACTTCTTCCACTTCCAGCTTCAATACGGTGATTTCCCAATGTAAACTGTAACGACATATTAAAAGACTTTTTAGTTGATTTGATTTTATGCAAATTTATATGTTTTAGGACAAAGATAAGTTGATGATAGCTGCTTTTATCACTTGATAATAGTTTAATTTAGGGGAATAGGTTGACATTTTAGGAAATACTGTTATTTTTTTTCATAAAAGATAGATGATAAAATTGCATGTCTTTACGCTAAACATGCTAAAAGTGAAGCTAGCCAGTTAGCTTAGATAGCATAAAAACTGGACACTGGGTGAACAGCTAGTCAGCTAAGCTAACCAGTGGCTGGCTTTAGCTTCAGGTGTCTCATACAAACACGAGAGTGGTATCAATCTTCTCATTTACTCTAACTCTTCAAGAATGCAAATAATACTGTATATTCCCCCAAACCTCTAAACTTACCTCCCATTCACACATAGTTGAGAGACCACAAGTCTGGTCTGATCTCTCCATAGCACATGAGTCTGTCCTTTTCTGACAAAAACAGTTTGTCCCTCTGTGTCGTCTACTTCCCTTTTGTCAGTTACAGTGATTCAAAATGAAAACCACAAAGTGCTCGGCTCTATCTGTTGTGACAAAGTTCACTTAAGGACCTTTGAGACTGAGGAGTGAAAGGAAGTATGGATTTCTCTGTCATGCACCGACACAAACGCCCAGAGTGCATTGGGATTAACGGCGAAATTATCTTTGCAACTGTTTTATGGAAAATAAGAGAGATGTAAACTGAACACACTTTAATAGGAGCAAAGGTAAAACATTACCAGGTCTGATTTTTAATTATAAAATGCACCACAGCAGAAGCAGCTTGAACACTGAGATCAAACTGGAAACTCAGCATGAGACAGATTTTTAAAAAATCATCTTTGATCTCAGCTCTGAAACTGTTGGCTCCCAATGAAAAATAAAAAATAAAAAAAACATACCAGTGAAATGTGTTCCATCATTTTCAAACACGCTTTTCAACCCTGGTGTACAAAAGATCTAACTGCTTCTCAGGCAGTGTGAAAATATTTACAACCCAGCAGATTGTGGAGTCTAATACGTTTCATCACTTCCAGTGGACTCTATCACACTGTTTTGCTGCAGTGTGCCTCACTCCTCCATACTCCCACCACAGTCTCTCATAACTGCCAGCTAATTGCTGTCAGTGACACAGCGGCAAGGACATTTTTCACATCCTGTTCCATCCACAAAGGGAAACTAATATTATTTCTCCCCACACTTCGTAACTCCTGTTGCTGTTTTTTTTTTGTTTTTCTCCGGTGTACTTTGACTCTCTGTGGAGTGATGCATTTGTTCTACAAGTTACGGGGCTCACGCTGATTATTAATAATACTGGACATCTGAAGTACAGCTTTGGTGTTAACCTCTCTGAGTCAGTCCAACACCAAAGCTGTGAGTTAGGGATGTGTGATAAGCCAAAGCCAGGAGGTAGCACTTTCATATTTCATGGCTGAAGTAACCCAGAACAGACGTATCAACGAGGATTGGCTTGCCTTGTGTACTTATATGGTCAAAATTGTGATTTCCAGAAACCGAAATGCAAGTTTTAAGTGTTAAATTTAAGTTTTAAGTTTAAGAAACAGATCAGCAAAGATCAGTTTTTTAAGTGATTTCTCTTATTCATTCAACAGCTCAGCATTGCATTTAGACTTCTTGTTGTTTTGGCTTTTGCTGAAGTCTAACCGGTCAACAAGCCCCGCGTTGTGACTGTTTGGGATGACTTCGAGCAGGGAAACAGCCCTGCTGCATTTCTCACAGACTGAACATGCCGTCCTCACTGAATGATGCAGCAACAGACTGTCTGACCAGCCAGTGACAATGTCTGAATTTATACATAATACAGTCAGAGGAGCTCAAGCACAAAGTGTCTTGTTGTCTGTGTGGGTTCAGTTCATTTATTTACCTCTCAGTAACTGTGTTTAACTGCCTTTGAAATAAACCTGTTTTCAACCTGTGCTTCATAAATAATAAATTCCCCTCCACCTGAGTTGACCCTTGTGTTCCTGATAGTCTTGCATCAAGTCAGACCTGCTGCAGAACTGCACCGCCTGTTGACCTTGGCAACAGAAACACGAAAGGTCCTTAGATTTTGAAGCAGCAGCAGGACCTCCTTCTCATCCTGCTTATTCTCAGCATTGCACTTAATTCTTGACAAATCGCTCCCCCAAAGGAGCAGGAAAGTCATCAGCATTTAAGTGGTGCTGCTCATAATCACTCCCTGGGACAAAAAAAAAAAAGGTTAATTCAGGGTGCACAGGGAAAAAGACTTCCTTTGTCACAAACTGCTGTTTTCAGCTCCGCGGTAATTTACTGTCTAACACTGTCGCTAAGTCGACTTTAAATCCAACTTGTTTGACGCCGTATGAATAATGAACGTCACTGACAACTCACAATTCTTCTGTTTTGTGTTGATTTCTCATCTTTGTCTGTGTGACTACGAAACAAGCTCCAAACATCCAAGACTAGGTCGAAACCCAGGATATGGCTGAACCGCGTTGTAGGTTATTGGCATCCTGCCTAGTGTCGTTCAGTTTGCTTCTCTCCTCCTCTCTGTGCTTAAATAGACTGTATTTTAATGCGGCTGCATTCACCATAACGCTTTTTTCTGTTGTCAGTGCATATATGATCATATTAAATGTCAGATTTTTTTCCGTCACATGAATTCTAACAGCATGGAAGCAGATTTCTCACACTGCAGGAGCATTGAAATGGTGTTGCATCAATTTCCCCCTGAAAAAAGGCTTAAAACTGCCAACAAAAATATTCCATTATCATTAACATAAAGTGACATGATGCAGTTGTATAATGACTTTTTATTTTATTTTTATTATTATAGCTTTAGTCTGCTGGCCTCCCCACAGATTTGGTATACATCCACAGATGCTGCTGCAAACAGTGTCTGTATCTTAATTCCCTGACGATATAGTTTGCCTAGTTCATAATGTTTGGAAGTTGTTTTCTACTGAGGCTCTATTTCTCCTTGTGACAGTCGGGTTGTCTCCGTCTTTTCAACTGACAGGTTGTAAATAAAGCGTCAGAGTTCAGTGGTAGAAAGTAAGTGTATTTACTTAAGTAGTTAACGCAGGGTACTTATAGTTTACATATTTATATTTCCACTACATTTCAGAGGAGAAAACTTACAGTGTGATTCCCCCCAAAAAAAACACCTGTACACAATTCATGTGTCTCTGTCAGACTCAGGCTCCATTGTATTTACATATAATCATAATATATATAGTATGACAGCCTGCATTTCCAGTTTAAACTATGTAAACACTCAGCACTGTTGCATAAACTGAATAAATTATTATTATTCATTCTCTGTTAACTAACTTATTCATTTCATTTCATTGCACAACCTCTTTCCAATTAAATCTGACACCCTGGCTACTCATTCTGCACATTCACACTATATGATTCATTTCTTTAAAACCTTTTTGACAGGAGCTAAATTGCTACAATCCAAAGCTTGCGTGCAAACAAAAAATTATGTAAGAGTGTTCAATATGTGCTTTCTAACTCTATGTACTTAAATAACATTTTAAATGCAAGAGTTATTGAATATTTTAAATAGTGGAACTACTTTTATTATTGGATTAAATACTTTTCCAGTGCTGTCAGACCCTATTTAAAGTTTGGACGTAGTCAGTTTCCTCCCCAGTTGTCCTTCCTGCTGTGCTCAGATCATCTTCAACTGTGTGATCTCTATTTAGAGGAAATAATGCTCCAGTTTAAACCTCCATTTTTTGGTTGTATTTTCACAATTAATTGCGCATCTGAAATACACTCTCCTCTGCATGGTTCTTTTTAATTGCCAATTAACTTCAGCCATGTGTGGAGCTTTTCCTCCACAGTCTTGGTGCAGATGTACGAATGTCTGCATATAGTGAAGTGAATAGAAAAAAAAAAAAAACACAGAATATCTATCTTGTCTAATTACATCGACTCCTTATCTCGCTCTGTCCTCATTCACAGCCAGATTAAAACTCTCATGTTGTGTCTTTCTGATTCCCATCAATGCAGAACAAGGTCATTGTTTTGATCTTTTGAGGTTTACTGCTGATCCAGGAGCTGCTGCTGCTGCTGCCACTGTCTCCTTCTGTCTTGAACATCAGCACACAAGAAGCGTTTCGATTTTTTGTCCTCCAGCGTTTTTGCTAAATCAATTGGATAAATATTGTATAGTATAGTAGAGGGTGTGACTGCAGCTGTAACCTTGTATGACTGTGATTCATGAGAAGAGGTTTTGTTTAATTACTGCATGTATTTGTCTTTTTGTACATCATTTTTCGATAATATAATCGTTTTTTTCTTGTAATACTGCTGTTCAGGTGTTGTTCATGCCAGATTGAGCCTCATATTTGCACCTGAAAAGGACAAAAGTCTTGAATTTGTTTGGATTCACATGTTTTTCTTAGAGTGCAGATGTGCAACCTTGACTTTTTCTGAGGATTTAATTTTTAAATTCCTGAAAACCTCAAGTCTGCTGTGGACGATAGCATTAAACATCTACCCAGGTCTCTGCCGACACATGACTCTGCAGCTGCTCAGGTCATATTTCTTATTTTAAATGTTTTAAAGATTTGCTGTGATCAGCCTTACGTCCAGATGTCAGGGAAAATAGCCCACACTCCGAGCTGGACCTGAGCAACTCCAGTGTTGCTGTCGCACACTCTCATTGTCTAGCACAAACACACACACACATACACACACACACATACATATATATATATACACACACACACACACACACACACACAGCTGTACATGTGTCTACTCCCTCTCCCTGTCCTTCAGCCGCACAGCCACAGTTGTCATGACAACAGAGAGGCTAATCTCCAGTGGACAGAGAGAGAGAAAAAGTGCAAGTGCTTGCACAGAAAACGTGCTTATGAGAACGAGGAGCACGTGTGTGTGTGTGTGTGTGTGTGTGTGTGATAGAGATGCAGTGCATGCTAGCATATTTGAGTGTGTGTGTGTGTGTGTGTAAGCATGCTTGACAGGTAGCTTGCTTGCGCACGCACACACAGTGAAGTGAATAGAAAAAAAAAAACAGAATATCACACACCATGCACCACACAATGTACAGTCCAGCTAAATTATACAGAAGCAATGTATAGAAATCTCATTTAAAAATATATATTTATAGAAGATAAAAAGCATTTTCTCACTCTTTCTCTCTCTCTCATTCTTTCCATTCCTCTGCTAGTTCCTTCATCCATTCATCCCTTCTCAGTTGTGGGAATTGCTTCCCTCTTCCAGTCTTTGAATCCAATCATTTTCCCTCATTTTTTTCCTTCCCACGACCTTCATCATTCTCCCTCAAAAATATTTAACTCATGACTTCCTTTTCCTTAAAACTCGTAAACCTGCCCCATGTTTCTTCTTTCCTTTCTCAATTCAGTCAGTAAATCCATTTTTCTTCTTTCACCCTCTCTTTTTTTGCAGCTCAATAATGTGGGGTTTTTTTCCCTTTTTTTTTTCTCTGACACGCCTTTTTCATCCTTCCAACAATTCCTAAATCTTCCGCTCATCCCCTCTCCTGTCAATCTTTTCATCCTTTTGAACTGCTTCAGCCTGAATCATCTTTTCTATCTTTGTCTCTCTGCACACACACACACACACACACTCCCTCCTCCAATTCCTAAATCCATCCCTCTTCCTCTATCTGCCCCTCAGCTTCCCACCCCCTTTAGTTCCTCCATCCCAGTTTCTCACATCCCTAAATCTTCGCCTCTCTAGCAGGGATCACACACACACACACACTTACACTCACACAGACACACACACACACACACACACACTCACACACGTGTGTTATGGCTGATTAGGCTGGCAGAACCACAGGGCAGTCAGCCCATTGGAGGAGATGATGGAGGGATGAATGGAGAGTGTGAGGGAGAAAAGAAGGAGAGGAGTGAAGGAGGTGGATACTGAGAGAGAGGATGGATGGAAGAAAGGATGAT